AATGAATCTCCAAAGTATGCTCAGGGAAAGAAGCCAGACTCAACAGTCTACATACTGTGTGAATCCATTCGTATGATAGCCTGGAAAAGGCAGCATTACAAGAAGAGGAAATAGATCAGTGGTTTTCAGGGGTTGGGGATGGATGGAAACAATTGGCTGTAAAAGATCACAAGGGAACTTTTTGATGTGATGAAAGCATCCTGTTCCTTAATTGAGATGGTGGTTACATGACTGTATATATGTGTCCCAATTCATAAAACTGTACAACTAAAAATGGAAAATTTTACTGCATACAAATTATATATGAATATGCATGACTTTAAAAAAGTCATGTCTTTAAAGGTCAGATCTTTAAATAGATGATTAGAGGGTACAAATATATCATTAGAAGAAATAAGATCTAGTGTTTGATAGATCAGCAAGGTGATGATAGTTTACCATATAATACATATCAAAGTAGCTGGAAGAGAATTATTCAAATGTTTCTAGCATAAAGAACAGGTAAATATTTAGGGTGACGGATATCTCAGTTACCCTGATTTGATCTTTACACATTATATGAATGTATAAAATTATCATATATACCCCAAACATATTTGTATCTTTTATATATTAGTAAAAAATATATAGAAAGCAAATTGATAGAAAACTCATACCTCCCTTTGCTCGAGGGAGAGCAAATAGGTATCTGTATATTAAAAGGATATGTGCGATATCAACATTCTTTGAAAGATGGGGAAAGGGTATTCTTGCTTGTTAGCTTTACTTGAAAGATTTGCAAAGATGCAAGAGACCTAGGAATAGCTTTCCCCTGATTCAAGTCTCCAAACCTCTAGTCTTTTCCTTCTTTTTATGTTTCCACACACAGCATTGATAAACCTCTAGTCTTAATGGTTCCTAATTTGATAAATTGGCCTTTGTGTTTATGAAACTTAAGAAAATGAATTTTACCTCAATATTTCTTCTGGCATATTGTCTTCTGCCTGTATGCAGAAATGTCTTTTTTTCCCCCGAAGGTGCTTTTCCTTTTATTCTGCATAGAAATAATGGAAGGAATTATTTAGACTTTTTTTCTGGTTTTAGGATGGAAAGAGTAATTTCAGTTAAGCAGTATTAATATATCTCCAAGTATGTAAAAATCGCTGACTGTATCTGAAAACTGGTTTGTGGAGACTGTGTTGAACCTAAATATATAGTTACCTAGAAAAGAATGGGCTAAATAAAACGTGTTTTGCATAGTACTTTTATTTTTAAATAGAAAATATTTGTAAGTATGTTTGTTAATATATACATTATTTCTTAAGTGTGATAAATTATCTAAAGTTTGATAATATGATCATTTGCTGCTTTCTATAATAGATGAATAAATCTATAATCTACATTAACGTAGTTATATAGATCTAATGCCAACATTATATTACTACTGATTTTCTAGAAATGGAGAAAAACATTTACAGGATGTGTGTTTCTTGTTGTTGTTGTTGTTCTGAATTTGTTGCTAATAGCTCACACCTGAAATCAACAGGAGCTGTGTCATCCTTCACATTCTGATTAGCCTTTGCAGGCGGACCCATCTGCTGACTTGAGCACAGAATCTATGAAAAGAAAGGCTGAGCCAGCTCTGCTTCCTCTGCCCTTCATGCCAGTTTTTTTCCTCCTTCCTACATGCAAATACTGTGAGGAGGGAAGAGAGAGCAGAACTGGGAATGCAGTGTTTACAAGAATGTGTCGTCTTCCTTTTTTCATGGGGTGGACAAGCACTCATTGAGATTGGAACTCTAGGAGAGGAAGGCTTTTTTTTTCTTTCCTGGGTGATGCATGCTGTGATTAGAGCCCATAGACCTATTCTGGAAGTCTTGAAAGTGCCACTGAGCATGGGGCTGACTTAGGTTATGAACTTGGAGTCTGGTGTCTGCATTTCATCTGGAGATTACTAAGGTGGCGGGCGGTAGGGGCAGGGGGAGGTGGGGTCTTGATGAATTTAGCTTAGTCAATGAAGGAGAAGGTACTATGAAGCTGTACATGGGAAGAAAAGGTGTCTCTTTATCTTTCCCAAAGCTTTTCGAGGATCTCAGTGAGTCCAGTGGATTCACAATGAAGGGGCATGAGTTTAACAAGATTAATAACAAAAAATGTAACATGAGGTTATGTAAATTCTAGTGAGTTGAGTCTTGGAGGGGACTTGTCATGGAAGGGAGTTGGTTTATATTTATAAATTCAATTTCAATAACTTGCCAAGTGTAGATTAATCAAGTGTTATACCTCTGTGTGAATTTATATAAGGTTTATTATATATAATACCTACATAGACACACATATATGTGTATATATACTGTGTAGATACAAACATGTATAGGTTTGTATTCAGAAACATGTTCATATATTTTTGAACCAAATTTTCCCATAGTGTAAGGAAACCAGTGGATTTGCAGAGGGGGCATTCTTGGTTGAGGTGAATCCAATTTTTGTGATTTCTCATTTATTGATCATGTTACTAGATGTTTACTTCCAGTGTTGCTGTTTTCTGTTGTTCTGAAGTACTGAAACTAATCTCTTGTTTAGTTATTTTAATAACTGTTTGACAACCCAGGTTAGAGAGTTGCCTTTGGTAACCATGATTGCCCCTTTGTTCTCAACTTCAGTGTGTCCAGAGAGAAATGGTGTCATTGTATACACTATCTAGTTTGTTATCAAGTAGGAGTCCCTGAGATAGGATATTTTGGATAAATATTTTCTCTTCAAACTCTGCAAGCCCATAATTAGAAATAAGAGCCTACCCTTCTTCTTTCTAACTAGTGTTTATTTAACCTTACAATAAGGAGCACATAAAATTTTTCTTTGTTTCAAAGAAAACATGTTGTAATTTAGACCAATATATTCTCATATACAGTTACTCTTTTTGTTTCTTTTCTATGGCAATGATTCTCTTGATGCTAGACGTCTCCTTTTGTGTTTTCCACATGGGGTAACAAGGGACTTGATCTGTTATAAATTTAGATATGATAGATGTCATAAAATATTCTTCTCTAAGCTTCCCAGTTTTTGGATAGTTTTTCAATAATTTGAAGATTGATTTATCCCTCATCAATCATGTGTGGAACGTGCTCATAAGCTCTGATAAGGGTATATGTCATCACGTTAGTTTGCTTTCTTGAGAAGAGAGAAGGCATTGTTTTTAAAACAATTTTATGTAGATGAAAAATATTGGTGAATTATACAAATGAGCCTTACTAAGACTGAAAGATTGCTTCATTTTCTTTCAATTGACATTTCTTTGGCTTCTTTTGGGAGGCTTAATTATCTTTATCAAGGTATTAATTGATAATTAATTGATCTAAAGAAACTCCTTGGGGTGCTATCATGTATCAAGCACTGCATTAGGTACAGAGAATGTAGAGGTAAATAGAAGTCGTCCCTAACTCAAAGATGTATGTGGTACAGAGAGGAGAGCATGACCAGTTTTGCTAGCTGGGTATCCTGGAAGACTTCATGGAGATAATGTTAATTTGCTTAATCTCAGTTTAGAAGAATGAGTATGAGTATTTTAGGTAAGTGAGGGGCAGAAAAACTTTTGAGGTAGAAGAAACTACAGGTAAAAAGGCATGGAAGAATGGAATTGGCATGTCATGTTTCGGTAATGACAAATAGTTTGGTGTTTCTGAAGCATGAAGTGTGAGGAGCTGTCTAAGGAGATAAAGTGGAATGGATTGTGAAGGCCCTGGTTCGCCAAGTGTGTGAGTTTCCTAGTGTTCCCATAGCAAGTTATCAAAATCTGAACAGTGTATAACATTAGAAATTTATTATCTCATCATTATGAAGGCCAGAAATAAAAAATCAAGGTGTTGGTGGGGCTAATGCTCCTTCCAAAGTCCCTAGGGAAGAACTCTCCCTTATCTCTTCCCACCTTCTGCTGATTGCTGGCAGCCCATGGTGTTTGCTGGGTTATAGCTGCATCACTCCAGTGGCTGCCCTGTCTTCAAATGGCCTTTTTCCCCTCTGTGTGCATGTCTGTGTGCCCAGATTTCTCTGTTATAAGGACAGCAGTCGTTGGATTTAGGGCCCACCCTAATTGTGTATTATCTCCTCTAAAACTTGTTTGTATCTGCAGAGACACTATTTTCAAATAAGGTCACATTCACAGGTTCTAGGTGGATATGATTTTTTTCCTCCATTTTGGTACTTATTGTTGAAAACCATTTTAAAGAGCAGTTTTAGATTCACAGCAAAATTGAGAGGAAGGTACAGAGAGTTCCAAATACTCCCTACCTCAACATATGCACAGCCTTCTCCATTATCAGTACCCCCTACCAGAGTGGTACATTTGTTAGAATTGCTAAACCTACAGTGATACACCATTATCATGTAAAGTCCATAGTTTACATTAGGGCTCACTCTTGGTGTTGTGAACATTCTCTGGGTTTGGACAAATGTATAATGACATGTGGCCATCATTACAGCATCACACGGAGGAGTGTCACCCTGACAATCCTCTTGGTTCTGCCTATGCATCCCTCCCTCTCTGTTAACCCTCAGCAACAACTGATCTTTTTATTATCTCTATAGTTTTGCCCTTTTCAGAATGCTGTAGCTGGAATCGTGTAGTATGCAGCCTTTTTCACTTTGTCTTCTTTGATTTGTAACATGCATTGAGTTTCCTCCATGTCTTTTCACAGCTCGATAGCTCATTTCTTTTTAGCAGTTAATAGTGACATGAATTTTGGGGGGGACACAATTCAACCCAGTATACCATATAAAGAGTGTACAATGGATTGTAGCCATTGATAAATCTCCACACTGTTAGAGTGGGGAGGAAGCACCTGAGAAGTAAACCACATGGCAGATCATTTAGGACAGGGGTCTTCAAACCCTGGGCCACAGACTGGTACCAGGGACTGGGGAACCTAATGGGCCCAGTACCAGTCCATGGCCTGTTAAAAACTGGGCTGCACAGCAGGAGATGAATGTTGGGTATGCCAGTGAAGCTTTGTCTTTTTTTCCAGCTGCTCCCTACTGCTCACATTACTTGAGCTCCACCTCCTATCAGATCAGTGGTGGCAGGAGACTGAGACCATCCTGGTCAACATGGTGAAACCCCGTCTCTACTAAAAAGACAAAAAATTAGCTGGGCATGGTGGCGCATGCCTGTAATCCCAGCTACACAGGAGGCTTAGGCAGAAGAATTGCCTGAACCAAGGAGGCACAGGTTGTGGTGAGCCGAGATCACGCCGTTGCACTCCACCCTGGGTAACGAGCAAAACTCCATCTCAAAAAAAAAAAAAAAAGATTCTTAGAGGAGCACGAACCCTATTGGGAACTGTACATGCAAGGGATCTAAGTTGCATGCTCCTTATGATAATCTAATGCCTGATGATCTGTCAGTGTCTTCCATCACCCCCTGATTGGACTGTCTAGTTGCAGGAAAACAAGCTCAGGGCTCCCACTCATTCTACATTATGGTGAGTTGTATAATTATTTCATTATATATTACAATGTAATAATAATAGAAATAAAATGCATAATAAGCATAATGTACTTGAATCATATTGAAACCATTCCCCACCCCACTTCCCTGGTTTATGTAAAAATTATCTTCCACAAAACTAGTCCCTGGTTTCAAAAAGCTTGGGAACTGCTGGTTTAGGAGACCATTTGAGTATTGGAGGCAACAAGTTATATATGTTCATCAAAAGTTGGATTCAACCCCTTCCTTCTATTTCCCATATATTTTTTTCATTATAAACCCTACTGTCTTCTCCTGACTTTTCAGTTCTGGTTATTTTTGATTGAAACCAATTGTAAATGCTCTTGATAGCAGTTTTTAGATTTCATCGAACAAAAATATTTAAGAAAACAATTTTTTTCTAAAATCTTATGAAGAGATATTTTTTTTTTACTAGTTAGCTGTTGTGCTATATGTAGTCCCAAAACTTCCAACAGGTAGCACCTACTGATCAGAAGCTTTCTTCAACAAGGTGGTAGAAATTTGAGCATGCTTTTATCCCCTTTGGTATAAATGTCTAAGTTGTAGGGATTCCATTTTCAAGGGAAGCTGGTCAGCGGATACAAGGAAAAGTCAGTACTGTAAAAATTAATATTCGGCACTTGTATTGAACTTTTGGTATTACAGCACATTAAAAAATTGTAGTAAAATACACATAACATATAAAATTTATCTTAATTTTTTTTTTTCACATCCTGCTCACCATCCACTCTGGCCCAGGACCCCATAGCATATGCGTCCTTCTCCATCACCCCAGTTTAACCATTTTTAAGTGTACAGTTTAGTGGCAATAAGAACATTGTTTAAGGTTGTACAACCATCACTACTATCTATTTCCAGAACTTGGTCATCATCTCAGAAACTCTACCCATTAAACAAAACTCAGTACTCCCTATTCTACTTTCCGTCTCTGTGAATGTGCCGATTTCGGGGTACCTCACGTAGGTGGAATTATACAGTATTTGTCCTTTGATTTCTGGTTTACTTCATTTGGCATGATGTTTTCAAGGTTGATATTGTCGTATGTGCTAGAATTTTATTTCTTTTTCACATGGAATCATATTCTATTGCATGTATATACCACATTTGTCCATTCATCTGTTGATAGAAATTTGGGTTGTTTTCACCTTTTGGCTATTAAATATAATGCTGAGCTGAATATTGGTGTACATGTCTGTCTGAGTTCCTGCTTTTAATTCCTTTGGGCATATACCCAGGATCAAAGCATTTTGCATAGATCACCTTTTTTCGGTTCTGTGTGGTAGCTGGGTCAGATGCTATTATTTCTATTTTGCAGACATGCAAATGGAGGGGGATTTATTAAGTGACTTGCCCAAGGTCATTCTAGACATTTAAAAATAGAATTGGAAGGAGAATTAGCACATCCTAATTCATCCACTGCCTTTTCCACTATACCTTGCTACCATCCCATTGAGCTAATTTGTTGCAGAGGCTGAATTAAAAAAAAAATGTGGCTTGTTGAGTATGGTAGCTTCTGTGAATTTCTAAGGAGTCCCGTCTCACATCCTAGTGATAAACCATCCTATCTAGTTGCACATTGCTCTGCATTCTGTGTATCAAGCCCATGCCAAGAGCTTTAGTTTTTGTTTCTTTTTAGCTACGCCTGAAAATGTTTCAAGATGCTGTTTACACCATAAAAACTTGCAAGAAAACTTCTCTTAACCGACATGCATCACTGCTGAGCTGCCAGAAGCACAGCCACTGTCTTCATCATCTGAAAACAACTAGTCAGTTCACTCAGTTCAGAGCATGCACCGCTCAAAAGTTGTTCTAGAAGGTTGTAGATCAAATAAATGTTAGTGAACTACTTTTGTGTTCACATATTATCTAAAACCTCTGGTGACATCTCTTGGAAATGTGATGAAAAGATATTTGGTGATTTGCAGAGTGATGAAGACTCACTGTCTGTACAGTCTGGCCTTGTGTGAGTACCATTTTCATTTTACATTTGTTTTGGTTGCATGATAAAAAATTCTTAACAGTTTTGGTTAAGCATTCCATTAATGTAATGCTCATATGGAGATGAGAGTTCCATATTATGGAACTGGAGATTTTTAAATGCTTTTTTCTCTTTGTTTTTGCAGGGACTGTACATTCTGGGGTTCAGGTCTTGAGCAAGGGTCCTGTTTATTCAAAGAGAATTCTCTCTTCATCTCCCGTAGGAGTTTGGTTTTCATGTAGGACTGAATCATGTTGGGAGCTATCTTTCAATTTCTGGCTACCACAGCCAGAAAACTGTGTTAGCTAATTGCATTTTTGTCTAACTACGAACCCAGAGACACTATAAAAAGTTCAGATCTGACACATCAAGGGGAAAAAGAATAAACAAGCGAGCTGTGAGCTTTCTACTGTGTGGGTACAGACTCACTAGGGTTCTCAGCATCTTTTACGTACCGTGGCCACAGTTTGAAAGGTCTCCAAGTTTGACCCGAAGTTAGACTTTAGAAGTATCACACCTCCCTCAAGAGCATTGTCACTGATCTAAGACACAGATTGCATTTCAACCGAGTTGTCTTTGCTATGTGGCTAAATCTGGAGCAGAGAGAGAGAGATAATCACTTTGCTCCTCCTCTGAGCAAGTCTTCCCCTTGTAATGATGAACTTTGTTCTGGGGAGTACATTTCTCAACTTCACTCTCATGCTTGGGTTGCTTGGCAGTTTTTCTGATGCTTTGGGGCAATCTGAATCACACCTGAAGCTGATGGGTTGCTGACATATGGAGCTTTAATTAAACCAAGCTGAAAAGAGAGAGCATCTGGAAAGCAGGGCTGGACCTTGGAAGGGCCTGGGTGGTGCCTTTTTGATTATGTTTTTTTTCAGAGACCATGTTTATCTTCTCTACCAAAAAAAGTTGGAATAACATGAATAACCAGATTGAACTTGGTCAAAATGTTGTGTCAAGAGAGATTTGTTTTCTTTTGTGAGCATTATAGGCAGTACTTGAAAGAGTTGAAGTGGGATTTGGTCATGGAAACAGTTGTTTGAAGGGCACGTTGCTGCTTTGTCTCAACAGAACATCTCCCAAGGTTGATTTTCATTGGCCCTAAGGGAAAGTGGTGGAGGACCACTGAGACAAAAGTCATCCAAAAGCTCATACCAGAAGAAGATTTTTCAATTCAGAACTTGCTCCAGATGACCAGTGTAAAGGTTTGGTGAGGCAAAAGGTACCTCCTTGCTCCTGAACATGAGCTATCTGTTTATAAAATGGAGTCTATTGCCTTTGACTATATGAAACATTAATTGTAGCTTCTATGTGGGTCAAAATCAAATTGTTACTAAATTATAAGAAGAAAGCAGTGCACATTTCCATTTAGGAAGTGCTTATTCTGATCTAGACTCTGCACTTGACCCTAGGGATACAAGTATTCATTTATTCATTCATTCACTCATCCAGCAAATACTTTCTGGATGAATGCTATACGCCAGGCACCATTTTGGGCACTGGATAACACAGTGAACCCAACAAAGTCTCTCCTCTGGTAGAGTATACATTCTAGAGGGAGAGTCAGACAATAAAAGGAAACAAAGAAAGCTATACTAAGGCTTGAGGGAGTTGTTAGAGGTCTGAAGAAAAACAAAGTGAGGATAACATGCTGCCTACACCCTTGTTCATTTTCTCATTTACCCAACCAATTTTTATGGAGGCCCTACATGTATCAGGCAGGCACTGAAGAGCCAATGAAGTCTCAGCTTGTCCTGAGTACTATGAAGAAACCAATGGGTTGAGATTGACAAGAAGCAATGGCTGGATTGGAGGCCTGTGGGGGCCCAGAAGTATGAAAATAGTGGGTAAGGAAGGGGTTCTCTGAGGACCTGAAGTATGAGAAGGAAGTGGCACTGAGAATGGTTGAGTGTGTGTGTTGGTGGGTTTGGCACTATAGGAGAGGCAAAGAAGATTACTGTAGGTAGGAAGAGCAGTATATTCAAAGGTTCTGAAGCAGAAAAGCTTTGGTGAGGGTTGGTGATAAAAACTAAATTTGTTCATGTTTTCAAAGACCTGGATAATGAGTGTGGCTCAAGATAAGGTTGGGGCCAGATCATACAAGACTTCAAAGGCCATATTAAAAATTTTGAAGTCGATTCTAAGGATAATTGAAAGACACAAAAACATTTTGAGAGAGAGTGGTATGATCTGATGGGTATTAAGATCCCTTTTACCGCAACTCAGGGAATAGATTGGGGTGGGTAAAAGTAGAAGCTGGGAGAGCAGCATGGAGGCTTTTTCAATAATCTGGGCAGGAGAATTGGAGAAAGAATTTACTGGTAACCTTGTGTGCAGTAAACACTTCTTTGACAGTCTTTCTCCTGTCCTTAATAGGATTAGTGAGAATATACCAACTGTTCCAGACTCCTGCCTCCGGGCCACTGAATGTCTGGACTAATTTGAAACCTGTGGAGTTTGAGGTATCTGGAAAGACAGCTCCTATTTTAAACTTAATTGTATTCAGGGTGTTTCCTAAGAAGTGTAATTCCTTCTTTTGATGAGACTCTGACATTAACAACAGCAATAATAACCCAAGCCTATAACTCCTTAGTATGTCAATCAGAATTTGAGTTTAAAAACTAAGGATCATATAATTTTCTTTGGGAAAATATTACTCCTTAATTTTTTTCTCTACCATCATTGTTGGAAAGAACAGAGAAAATAAGAAAAGCCATGCAAATGATTTCTGGATCAAATTTGACATCTCAGTTGTGGTGGTAAAAGGTGAATCTTAGAGACAAACAGAGCTGGGTTTAAATATCAGTCCCACTGCTCAACTGACTGTGTGACATGTGGCAGACTCCTGAAGCTCTGGAGTGTGTGTTTCTTCAGAAAGTGAGGTGATACGGCCAAAATGATTGGTACAGCATCCATATTCATGATATGCCAGTTTCTGTTGCTGCTGTGGTTTGAATGGCTCCCCCGCAAAAGCATGTGCTTTTAACTTAATTCTCAGTACAACAGAGTTCATAGATGGGATCTTGGAGAGGTAATTAGGCCATGAAGACTTTGCCTTCATGAATAGATTAATGCCAATTATAAAATGGCTTGAGGAAGTGAGTTTGATCTCTTTTTCCCCGTCTTTGCCCTTCTGCCACGGGATGACACAGCAAGAAGGCCCCCATTAGATGCCAGCCACTTGATTTTGGACTTCCAAGCCTCCAGAATTATGAGCCAATGAATTTCTGTTCATTGTAAATTATGTGGCTGCGCCAGGCATGGTAGCTCATGCCTTTAATCCTAGCACTTTGGGAGGCTGAGGCAGGCCGATCACTTGGGCCCAAGAGTTCGAGAGCAGTCTGAGTGACATGGCAAAATCTTATCTCTATAAAATACAAAATTAGCCAGAAGGGTGGCACATGCATGTGGTCTCAGATATTCAGGAGGCTAATTGGGAAGGATTGCTTTACCAGGGAAGCTGAGGCTGGAGTGTACTATGATTGCGCCACTGCACTCTAGCCTGGGTGGCAGAGCAAGATCTTTTCTCAGTAACTAACTGACTAACTAACTAACAACTGACTAACTAACCTGGCTGGTGAGTTGGCTCATGTCTGTAATCTCAGTACTTTGGGAGGCTTAGGCGGGAGGATCACTTTAGTCCAGGAGTTCATGTCCAGCCAGGGCAACCTCATGAGACCCTGCCTCTACAGAAAATTAAAAAATTAGCCAGGTAACGTGATGCAAGCCTGTAATTCCAGCTATGGAGGAGGCTGAGGTGGGAGGATCACTTGAGCTTGGAGATTGAGGCTACAGTGAGCCATGATTATACCACTGCACTTCAGCCTTGGTGTTGGAGCAAGACCCTGTCTCTAAATAAATAAATAAAAAATAATCCAGTCTGTTATATTCTGTTATAGCACACAACAGGACCAAACTGACTAAGACACTTGTTTTTCTTCCTGCCTTCCTCTTCCCTCTTCTAAAGGGCATCTAACTTTTCTTGGCTGCAACACAGCCTAAAGATGTTCAGCTAAGTTTTCTTTCATCATCACATAAACATGAAGAGGCCAAAGTAAACCTTCTTTCCCCTCCTTTTCTCTTCTCTTCTCCTCCGCTCTGCTCTTCCTCTTTCTTTTTATTTGCAGGAATATTACAGGTTAGCAATTACATTCTGACCATAAAACTTGGTGTCTGGCACTAACTCATTTAATTTTCACAAAAGCCCCAGAGGAAGGTGCTAACATGATCTCAATTTTGTAGATGAAGAAATTGTGGCTTGCAGAGGTTTAATTGCTTACCTAATTTCACACAACCTGTAAGTGGTGGCATGGAATTTGAATCCAGGCAGTCTGACTTCGAGATTTGTTTGTGCGTTTCTTAGCTTTCTCTGTCCCTTTAGACATCTTTACTGGATGTGGAAAGTGAGGACATTGGTACTGTTGATGTTGGTGGAGAGCTGGGGAGTTCTGCTGGGAAGTAAGGAGGATTTGGTGTTTATGAGTGCCTGTATCTATGTGGCTTATTTATGAAAAATGGTTTCTCCCCCTTTATTGTCCACCATCTGTGTCACACCTGGAGGCACTCAGTAGTTTTTAGAAATATGGATGATTCATACAACTATTTTCTTATAATGTCTAACCTCCCAGAGGAGGGACTGGAGGGGAAAGTTCATTTACAAAGATCAGCTATGCTCGTAAAGGTATCTTAATTTGGTGAGCTGGAGAAAGCCAGGCTGCTAATTGATTAGCTTGTTTCTTGACCTGCTAATTGAGGCTTGGTCTTTATTCACATGGCTCCTAGGCAGTTTTGGCTTCAGTTGTGTGTCCTGATCTAAGCTTGCCAAAATCAGATGCTATGGGGTGTAGAGTTAACAAGCTGGCAGAGCATCTGGAGATGTAATGTCCATGCCGTTATGGAAAAATGAGGAACTTCCCTTCCAATTAGAGATGATTGTTCTGTTGTTACAAGCTTGTTCTCTTAACTACCTCTACTGTTACAATTCTAAAATATAAGACAATTTCTTGTTCAATAAGGGAACACTGTGTATGTTTAAGTGTTATTTATATTACAAACTAATACTCTCAAGTAAGTGCTTTGCAGTCACAAGTTGACTCGGTTAAAATAGTCCATCTAGGACTAGGTTGAACAACAGGGAAAGTTTCTGTGGATCTTAACCACCCTTTTTGGAGAGTTAAGATATGCAATACAGTTTGTAGAGAGGGAAGCAGGGTCAATTAAAGGATTTCTGACAGGGCATCAACCTTTGTTGAGCTCCTTGGGTCTCTTGTGCACTCTAATTAGGAGTAAGCTATGCTCTGTGTTCTTGGTATCTTCCTCTGAGTCCTCAGTCTGCTGGGAGGTCAGCTGCCTCACTCAGTGCTTTATAGACATGGGCCAATCATAAGGCAGAAAGGAGGCTGGGTGCAGTGGCTCACATCTGTAATCCCAGCACTTTGGGAGGCTGAGTCTGGCAGATCACTTGAGGTCAGGAGTTCGAGACAAGCCTGGCCAACATAACGAAACCCCATCACTAACAGTACAAAAATTAGCAGCATGTTGTGGCACATGCCTGTAATTTCAGCTACTTGGGAGGTTGAGGCACGAGAGTCACTTGAACCTGGGAGGCAGACACTGCTGTGAGCTGGGATCATGGCACTGTATTACAGCTTGGGCAACAGTGTGAGACTCTGCCTAAAAAAAAAAGAAAGCAGTAAAGATTTGTTTTCCATTTTCAAAGTAATGCTTCCATAGTACAAGAAGAGAAAAGAGCCACTTAAACCTTCTGAAATAATAAGAAACCATGAAGGTTTTTTTGTTCAAAAAATAATATCTTTCTTTGAGGTCTGACATGAAAATATCTTTAAAGCATAGAGTACAGAGCCTAGTCCTCAATAAATGGTTATGACCATTTAATTCATATTTTAGTGCATTTTTGGATGGTAACCTGTTTGTCTTCCCCCACTTTTCTTCCAACCCACCCCCACTTCCTTCCTTCTGTCCTTCCTACTTTCCAACATACAAACTGTGGTCTATATACAACTTGGTAACCAACTTATCATATGTTATTTTGTCTATTTAAACTGAGTAATCATTATTAAGAAAGCAGGGCCCCACACCCCATTCACTTTTTTTTTTTTTTTACAATGACTACTTATCATTGTGTTCCTCTGTGTGGAGTCAGGAATGGAACTGGATCTGGCATCCCACCTGCCCTCTGTCCTTATCTCCCATCCTCATTTCCTCCTGGCTTTCCAAATGGCCAACAACTGGAAGCAGCCAAGTCCAGGAAACACACTAATACCAATTTCAAAAGATGTATTTGACTGGGAAGCACTTGCATAAGCAGACTATTCTTAAAGTTAAACAAAATGAAGCTGGCCAATATGTGGTTGAGTAATAAAAATGTTGTCAAAATTGGACTTACCCATTTGTTCCCTAGTCTTCATTTCCACTCCAGCTCTCTTCTTATTTGATTAAGCATTTGAGTCACAATTTGAAATTTGGGATCTTCTTGCTCAGAATCATTTTGCCTATGGAATCAATGAGTTAGAAATCAGGTTGGGGTGAAATGATTTTTTATTTTTTTCCCAACACTGTGATTCTGTGAATTTTATGAACAGGAGGGGGAAAACAATGCCATCAAATAGCATTTACTTTTGAAATTTTCCTGAGAGCTGCGCAACTTGAAGTCTATTTATTCAATTCCGCTGAAAGTTGTGTAGTCTTTAAACACGTGTCAAGGCGGCCAGGCTTAATGCCTGTATATTTTACTAAGAGGTTGGTGGGCTTATTTGATTTAGCTCATGTGAGAAGTTTAATTGTTTTCTTCTTCTTTCTTTACTGGCAGTGACTATATCTGGTAGAATAAAGCTTTGTCAGCCACCCCCTTTCATTCTTTATACGCGAGAGGTAGGAACTATGGATGGCTGGTGTTTTCTTGAGGTTCCCAATAGACCATGTGTTTCACATCAAGTGAGCTAATACCTTTCCAGCTGAAAACCTTTCAACGGCCTTAAGTTTCCAGACCAGACTTTACCTCTGGCTCCAAACAGATCTGGTCTTCATGTTGGTTCACCCTTAATATTGGCACAATAGATGCTGACTCATGGGAGTAAGTCCTGAGACCTGTTTGGGATTATGCCTCAAGTCTTATGCCCATTATTTCCCCAGCCCAAGTCTTGCCATCCTGTTAAGGGAGGCTCTTTTTTTTTTTTTTTTTTTTGAGATGGAGTTTCGCTCTTGTTATCCAGGCTGGAGTGCAATGGCGGGATCTCGGCTCACTGCAACCTCCGCCTCCTGGGTTCAAGTGATTCTTCTGCCTCCCGAGTAGCTGGGACTACAGGCGTGCGCCACCATGCCCAGCTAATTTTTTTGTATTTTTAGTAGAGACGGGGTTTCATCTTGTTGACCAGGATGTTCTCGATCTCTTGATCTTGTGATTCACCCGCCTCAGCCTCCCAAAGTGCTGGGATTATAGGCATGAGCCACCACACCCAGCCAACGTTGGGAGGCTCTATGCATATTGATGATGTTAGTGGCATTGTAGATAATTATGCCCCTGGATCTTCATAAGAACCCAACAAAGTAAGTATGGCTATTATGTATATTTTACAGACAAGGGAATAGCCTTAGGGAGATAAGGTCACTTTGTCAAGGTAGAATAATTCGCATGCAGAACAATGATTAAAATTTAAGTTTGTAATACCAAAGTTTACACCCTTAGTCCCCAAATCACACGTTCTCTGCAGCAGGAAAGGTAAGTGCCAAATCCTGGGAGGGTAAGACATTATCTTTTTCTTGTTTCAGTCAAATTAATTTAGAGCAAAAGTGATCTTTGAGATCAACCCCAATCCCACCTTCTTTATAGATGAAGGAGACAAGATTTGTGATCATAAGTAATTTACTCAAGGTCGAGCTACTGACAGTGGTAGCACCAGAAAGAACAAAGGCCACCTGTGCTCTTTTCAGCAGTGTGCTGGGAAGGCCAAGAGTCTGAAATGACAGAGGAGCGAGATGGTGTTGACTAAGAGTTAAGAGAGCTAAGGGTTTTTGTCCCAAATTAAAATGAGATTACACTTTCTTGAAATACAAATATAAATTAAAGGATCCTACACATGTAAGAAATCTGTAAAGCTTTCCTGATCTTCTAGTCCCTCAGTAAAATTTATACTCCTTTTCAGAATCTCCAAGGCAATGCCTGATCACTCTGGCTGCTCATCCTAAGCTCTGATGGTGCTAGCCTCTTTTGAGTTTTAGAAGCCAAGCTCTTTTGCTGCCATCTCACCTGCTGATTGACCTAGTCTTTGTAGGGCTGGCTTCTTCTGTAAACCTAAATTTAAATACCTGCCCTCAGAGAAGTCTTCCATGATATCACTGCGTGTATGCATGCCCTCTGCCCCATCTTTTATCATTTGATCTTTTATTTTTCTTTCGCTTTTATCACTATTTGTAATTATTTCTATATTAGTTTGCTTGTTGAATGCTTGCCACTTCTTCTAGATTCAAAATTCAGTGAAGTTAGGGCCATGATTGCATTGTTCAACATCCATACCCTGGCACATTTGTTGAGTGATGGACTGGCTGGCTGGCTGGTTGGCTGACTAGATAAATGAATTAATACATTTCCACCTGCCAAACCCTAAGTATCCACTGCTGAGAACAATTGCCTGAAGCTCCCAATGGGGAGAACTTTACTCCCATTCCAATTCCACTGTATTTTCTAAGACTAGTAAAGTTAAGTTACTAACACTTCCTTGCATAATTTTTCTTTTCAAACAAACTAGACAGTCATTTAGCAAAATCGAAAGAGAAGAGGGGCAGAAGGCAGACATCAGTTTTAGAGTAGAGGTGAAGAATCAAGTCCTGTCATCCATGGTACTGCACGTGAACAGTGTGTGCATACAGGGGCCTGCATAAAACTTCCTTTTTCAAATGTTTAACAGTTTAAAAAAAAAATCTCTGAGCTTCACTTAATGCCCACTTACTTCTTCCTAAATCAAGCTCCTCCTATGCCGATCAGCTTTCCCTACTGAAGAGACTCTCTGATGCCTCCTGGCATTCCTGGGGCCTTGTTCAGTGGCAGGCACCCCACTGATGTTTGTCAGACTGGCTTCATAGAGGAAATGAGTATATTTTAGAAGAACATTAGTCCAGAAGTATTATATAAATATGAAGTTAATGATAATCACAATATGAATAGTGATTATTGATTGAGTGCTTACCATATGCCAGGCAATATGTGGCTTTGCTTTCAATGTTATTTAATTATTATAATGACCCTTTGGAAGTAGGCACTTTTATTATTTCTGTTTCATGGATGAGAAAACTGAAGCTAAAGTAATTAAAAAACAAAACAGGTTGGGCTCTGTGGCTCAAGCCTGCAATCCCAGCACTTTGGGAGATTGAGGCAGGTGGATCACTTGAGGTTGGAGAGCAGCCGAGCCAACATGGCGAAACCTTGTCTCTACCCAAAAAAAAAAAAAAATATATATATATATATATATATTGGCTGGGTGAGGTAGCTCAAGCCTGTAATCCCAGCTACTCAAGAGGCTGAGGTGGGAGAATTGCTGAGGTGGGAGGCACAGGGCACAGGTTGCAGTGAGCCAAGATCGCACCACTGCACTCCAGCCTGGGTGACAGAGGAAGACCCTGTCTCTAAAGAAAAAAAGAAAGAAAGAGAGGAAGTGAGGGAGAAAGGGAGGGAGGAAAGAAAAAGAAAGAAAGAGAGAAAGAAAGGAAGGAAGAAAGAGAAAGAAAGAACAACAGAGAAAGAGAGAAAGAACAACAAAACAAGAAAACCAAAAGTGCCCAAGCTCACAAACCACATTAGTGCAGAGCCAGCATTCCAAGCTGGTCTTTTTGGTTCTGGAGCCTTTGCATCTAATCACTCTGTCATGAACATAAGTCTTGTCTCACCTTCCCTTTTTCCTGATGACATGGGTAGATACATAAGATTCAGGAATGATCTACTTGGTGATATATTCTGAAGGAACCACAGCAAAGAGGCCTGGTGACCTTTGGGTATGCAAGAGGGGCAGGGACTTCTCCCTCCTGTAGCCCTGGCTGTGTGATTCTCAAGGAACTTGTACCACCCTTGGGAACATGGAACTCTTCCAAGGAGAGCACCAGGACCAAGTTCCTTGTTAATGCTCACAGCTGATGGGCAGTGGAAAGAGACCAGGCCTAAATGTGGCTCTGGACTTACCAACTTTGTGATTTGGGGCATAGCATCGAATTCCTCTGAGGTAGAGTTTTCTCATCTGTGCAGTAAGGACGAGAGTAGCAGCTACCTAGTGGAGCTGTTGTCAATGAATAACACGTGTTATTCATTTGCACGTGTTTTGCAGGCAGCACTATTTGTACAATGCAAAATTTGTTACTAATGATGGCACTTTCAAGTGAAAAACCTGATGTCATTTGGACCTGGTAAAAATGATCAGTCAGCGTTTGCTGATTGATTGGCACAACACTGAGGGCCCAAGAGTCCTGAGGTCCATGCCTGTTGTCCAGACTCCAGTGAGTGCTGGGTCCCAGGCTTCCAATGCTATGGCCCCTGCAGTGGCTTCCATTGTTGAGAAAGATAAACAAGGCCAGGCCATAGGTTCTCAAACATCTGAGGTGTTTGCTCATCACAGCATGCTCTGGAGCATAAATGTGTACTTTAGTCCTGCTCACTGGCACATTTGTATTCATTGAAAACAATTGTGAAAGTCGTAATAGTGATAGCAAAATACTCTGTCCTTTACTGACAGTCAGCCAAGCCTTGCATAATGATCACACCGGAAATCACCATGGGGCGACAAATCTGCTGGCTGAAGAAAGGAAACACTTCCAATCATTTCTGAGTCAGCTTTCTGACTTACTGGTTTTGGTCCTTTCCACATGAAGCATTTATAGAAATGTGCTTGGCTGTGAGAAATAGACTTCCGTGAATGGAGAGACGCATGCCTCAGTTAGGGGTGTTGAGTGGTTCAGGAGAAGTTCTAAAGTGAGAGATGAATGGTTTCGTGTTTTGTGGTTCTGAAAGTTGGGGGGTAAGACTTTTTTAGAAGGGGGGTTGAGTGAACCAATCAGACTGAACACAGAATGCTTCCCCTTAGCAGGTCCAAACCAAACCACTTCTGACTTAGATTGGAAAGCCAAGCTCTGTCCTCATGTCACCGTTTATGAAGCCATTGCATTCTTTGGCAAGAGGATATGGAGGCAAATCACAAAAGGAAACAGAAATCATATAAAATCTTACTTTCAGTGGTGAGGTCTCTACTTCTTGTTGTCCGTCCTGGGCAAGAGAGAAGAGATTCAGACCCAGAGCATGTGAAGGGCCCTGGGTCTGAATCCAGAACATCCTTCACCACCATTTTTGTAACGACTCTCGGTGAAAAGAAAGGGAGCTGTATGTTCTATCACTAAAAGTAACCAGGATGCCAGTGACGCCACTTCTCTGTCCCAGCAAGGCCGCTTCTTATCCAGTCTGATAATTTGGTCTTAGCCCCATGCGACTGGAAGGCTGGACTGTCCTGGAGTCGTGAGCTTATAAAGCAAAATCTGTGCAGCAGAGAGTGCTTGTGCTGCTGTGTCTATGTCTGGTAATGCCTGGTCTTTCAATATATTTGTTCTCAGTATTTATTCAGAAATTTGAAGTCACCAAGAGCAAACAGTCCCTTATACAGTTTAGATGACACATGCTTTTGTAGGATATTGTGTATACATTTTCTTTCAGAAATAGAAAAGTATTTCCTCGGCAAGTCTGGAAACAAGAGAGTTAATTTCTCCAGCCCGACAGGTTTTTGTTTTTCTTTTTGATGAGGTTCCCTGAGACCCACTGAAAGTCATCTCAAAATCCCAACAGGGTCAGCACTGAATGTGAGGTGTGTGCATCCAGAAGTGGGTACCTGTGATCCTAGCTGAGTCAAAAACTTGGAAGATGTGGGAGGGGAAGCAACGGATTAGAAATTTGATGACTATGACTGTTTGTGTGTATACGTATGTAAATATAGCATCAACATCTGGATTAAAAAATAGAAAAATTTCTACATTGTTACCCATATATGTAGATATAAGGTTATACTTGTAAATATATAAAATGCTAAATATCTGGTTGAATAGTTTATTTGCTTTCTTAGTTTTATTTAAACTTAGACTAAGTGTAGATGTAGCATGTGAATTCTGATACAGTTATGTAAATAAGATACTGTTTGTTTATAATTCGGGGTCTAGGTCTTTTTTCTTTTTAAGAAGCCACTGGTAACATCTGTGACATTTCTAATGCATTTGAACATACATGACAATACCCTACCTTGGTGAAAGGGGTGAATGCCTATGCCTTTTAGGGAGCAGATCCAAACTTGAAAGGCACTGCACCGCTGTACAGCTAGCTGGATCTTCCTTTGCAGATTTGGAAACGTTTACTTAACTGATCTGTGTGGCTGCAGTTTCTAGGTATTTGATAAGGAAGAAGAGGAGTGACATGCCTCTCTTCCAAATGAAGCCGCAATATAGTGTTGTGTATTTTTTATGTTTTGAAGTTACACCTAGACCCAGGGACATGGCAATATGGTTTGGGGATCATTAGTAATCCCCTGGGAGCCTCTTGGTTTCCCCAGGCATGCTTTCTGAGGTATAACAGTATGACTCTGTGGAGGCATTGGTTTCTGGTATGAATTAACTTAATATATTTATTATATTACTTATGATTTTTAATGAAAACCAGACATAATCTCATTGGTGTTTCACCAAAGCACTGCCACATTTACTTATTTATTTACTTTTGTGGTCAATGAGGTTTTGATTTTTTTTTTAATCTCACTGATCTTACATTAGTGCAAAGGTAATGACAAAAACCGCAGTTACTTTTGCACCAACCTAATACTATCCATAGACAAAAGCATTGTATCCTGGTTTATTCTACACTTTATAGGTTGGCGCAAAAGCAATTGTGGTTTTTACCTTTTTTTAATGGCAAAAACTGCAATTACTTTTACACCGACCTAATAAGCAATTCAATAAACATTTCTTGAGAGCATCACACACTTTGATGAGGGTGACAGTTACCAAGATAAAAAGACATAATTCCTGCCCTTAACAAATTCAGAGCCTAGTAGAGAAGCCAGAGGACAAATAATCAATGCAGATTCCTGGATTTCCATCTTAGAGTTTTTGATTTAGTAGGTCTAAGTGGAGCTTGGGCTTCTGCAATTTTAATAAGCGCACTTGGTCAATTCTGATGCAGGTGCTCATGGGTCACATTGGAGGGGAGCACTGGTATGCTGGAGGCAGAAGCAACATTGAGAAGCTGGGACTGTGTTTGTTGAGGAGTGGAGTCAAGAGTTTTGAAGGATGAATAGGAGTACAACAAGTTGAGAGAGCAATAGCACTTGCAGAGACAGGGTTGTGGATCATCATGGTATATTTGGAACACTAGTTTTTTCATGTGTTTGGAGGTTGGCAAAAGTTGTGTGTGATGAAGTTAGAAAGTGAAAGTAATTTCTGGAGAGTACCTGAGGCCACCTAATTAAAGCATTTCAGTGAATAAATGGGTCAAATTGGTTTTTGATTTCTTGTGGACGAAAACGAGGGATGGATTAGAAGTTTGATCTTGCAGTTAGTCATGATGGTGATAAATGGAAACAGTCATTACTGTGCTAATCAGTATGTCATATTCTCCTCTGATAACCAGCACTGAGTATTTCTAGGGATAATTCAGCTTAGATGCTAGTAGTAGGGATATTTAGACACAGCAATGAGTTAAAAATAAGAATGAGGCCAGGTGCGGTGGCACAAGCTTGTAATCCCAGCACTTTGGGAGGCTGAGGTGGGCAGATTACAAGGTCAAGAGATTGAGACCATCCTGGTCAACATGGTGAAACGGCATCTCTGCTAAAAATACAAAAAATTAGCTGAGCATGGTGGCGCGTGCCTGTAATCCCAGCTACTCAGGAGGCTGAGGCAGGAGAATTGCCTGAACCGAGGAGGCGGAGGTTGCAGTGAGCCGAGATTGCGCCATTGCACTCCAGCCTGGGTAACAAGAGCGAAACTCCGTCTCGAAAAAAAAAAAAGAAAATAAGAATGTGAGCTCTTTTCCTTTTCCTTATATGAATATTCCCCCCAAAGAGTAGGCTTTCACCTGTCTGAGGTGTTTAGATATTTGGATACTTGGATGCCTGGGAGTACTTAGGTGATGCCTCAAAATGTCTACTCCGTAAAATGAGAAGGGATCTTGGGGAAAAAATGTTGCTTTCTCTCTCTTTAGCATCAATAAAGCTATGAAAATAATGGGGAATGGTCAATGGTCTTACAGTACAGATAAATAAATAATTTCCAACAGAATATGTGATTTTCTTCTTGCATTGTTTTAGATGAAATCAGATGCATTCAAGGTGGTATGGCCATATACCTTGCATTGTTTTAAACCAAGGGAATTTTACAGTGAATCTGAACAAGAAGAAGATTCCATGCAAAATCTGGCCATTGCTTTCCAGTTAACCTTTACATTGCTTTATGTTAGAATAAAACTTTTGGTCAATTGTTAGGTGGGTTCTGAGTCACTTGATCCAGCAGGGGAGAGAAAGGAAATTCTTTGGGAAACCTTGTTTGGTGACATGCAGTTGTTGGTGAGGTAAAGAGAAGGAAATAAAAATGTAGTCAGAAATTGATTAGTTGTCAGAGACATTCAAGAGTCATTTTTCATTTTTCTTTTTTAAAATTGTCATTCTTCAGACATTCTATAGACACTGTTTATTTATCATGCTATTAGCAGAAACTACGCTGCTCTAAAAAGTTACATCATCAAACCAAATCCTCATCCAGTTTCACTGCAGTGGGACTCTGCCCACTGCATGCTGCTCCATTATTATTGTATCAGCTTTTAGCAATAACTGACACCTATCTGACATAAAATTGATACTTGGCAGAGAAAAGAAAGCCTGTTCTTCTGTGCTTAGGGCAAGTGGATTGAAACTTGCTTAAAAACCGTTTGGGAGTCAAATTGGAGTATCTGTCAGCAACATTTCCTCACTTAGGTACAGTAACCAGAAGGTAGCATCCAAAAAATGTTAACCATTGTTGGCTCTGAATGTCTCTGAGAGAGCCCCTGTTTAGATTAATGGCCGGCCGACTGAATAGGGGGTCATAATGGGTGGCCAGACTCTTTGCAACACAGTAGGCCTATTGTACATGTAACAGTGACTAAATTCAAAGCGTTTCATGGTTTGGATGCTTCTGTAAATATACGTTAGCCTTTAAGTAAACCAGAAATTATACCAACTTTTAGTTTTTTTAAGAGAATAAAGTAAGGGAAAAAAAAAAAAGATGAAACAAACAAACACCAGAGAGCTTTCTTTTGCAACAATGCCTTCTTTTTTTTTTTTTTTTGACATTGCTTTTTAAAGGTGCCGCGGTCCTGGGCGAATGAATATGGGTTTTTATCCCTTGAAACAGAGGCCTGCTGTCTGACGGAGGATTCTTTTTCCTGCTTGACTGGCAGGACTTTCTGTCTCACTCCCATTAGAGAAGAAATACTGTTTAGATTTCGACACAAGATATTACCAGTGGAATAAACAGTGCTATTTTCATGATCAAGTGGATGTTTAAGATTAAGGGTTTATTTAAGCCCACTGGTGAGTGACATTGCACTTGAATTAGGAGGCACTCCTACGGGAAACAAGTTTTATCCACCTAATTTTGCTATTTTCTAAGTTTTTCCTCTGCAGCAGACAGAAGCATAGATACCGCCATAACCTTCTGTTGATCCGGAACGCAACACCCAGAAGTAAGCGCTTGCAAGTTTAAGACAAAGAGCTCCCATGTAAACGGCAGGGGGAGCTCGAGGACTGGCTGCGAGGCCGCAAAGCGGCCACGCACGGGAAAGGCGAGGAGCAGTTGGAACAATTACCCGACTTCCCTGCTTCTTTTCTTCTCTTTTTTAAATGTAGAAAAGGAAAAAGAAAAGGATCATCAGCCAGAAAACGAAGGGCGCCAAAGAACCAAATGTATGTAGCTGAAGAACTTGAAAAAATATTCTGGGGACTCAAGAGAGGAACCCATATTCTCTTTCTCGTTGCCTGTCATTTCCTGCTCTCCTGGCCTAGTATCGCCTTCTCTTCTCCATCCACACTCTCCCCTCCACACGCTCAATTTGGTCCTGTTCGCCAGCACTGTAGGCTGCCTTTAGGACAACCCATGGCTCTCTTGACGTCCTCACGCTCAGCGGGAGCGAAACTTCCTAAGCATCCCCCTGGATGGTGCTAACAAAGGTTAAGCACTGTCCCACCTCTTTTTTGCAACTGGGGTATCCCCCCTCACCCACTTTTTTTGTAAGGGAGGGGAGGTGGGAAAAGCTGACCTGGGGACACCTGGTTCTCAGCCCAGCGCTTACCCCCAGTGACCTCCCTTAGTCTTTGTACTCCTGTTCTTCATTTGTACAGTGAGGGATTTGACCTAAATGTTCTCAAAGCGCTCAGGTAGTGTCTGTTCATAAAACCAGAAGTGAGAGGTGAAGTCACCCCAAAGCAAGATTTTTAGTGCAACATTTTGAGGGAATTGAGGCAAAGTGTTTTTCCCGTCTTCTTCCTGGAGCATGAGTTACCTGATTAAAAGTCTTGAATATTTTACTCCTATCTCTGTGGTGTATTGATGAACAAGTTTATTGAACTTTTACCCTATGATCAAAATGGAGATGAGGAGATTAAATTATACCTTAATAAGCAGTTTTTTTTTTTTTTTGCTAATGGATTATTTATAAGTTCGCAGCAATTTCTTTATTAAGTAAAAATATTGCTGATAAATTGACAGATTACACTTGCATTTGCTCTTTTGTTCTCAGAATAAACTTTAAATAATCTTTTTGGGGAGATGTTCTAATTTAATTGGCCCTAATGAGAACCAGATTGCTCATTAGAATAAAAAGGAAAACGGCAATCTGTGTCACGTTTATCAACCTCCGCGATGGGCAGCGTTGTTCTAAGGTTTACAATAAGTAGACACACGTGGAAACTAAGAGAGGCTCTGATAAACAGATATTGAATGTAGATCATAAGTCAGTCTTAAAATTAAGCATGTGTTTACACTGTGTTCAAAGACTGTGAGGCCACTGGGAGACAGAATGTGGGAAGAGTTTAGCAACAGCCCTCTCAGCTGGTGACTTCAGGGCAGAAACCTATCAGTTCTCAGTAGGGACTCCTTAAACAGCGGGCATAAGTGGGTTAGTCAATTTTGTCAAATACAGGAAAGTATCTTATGTTTCAGAAGAAGACCAAAACATTATTTCAATATGAGTAAGGGTTTTCTCTTTTACCTTGGAAGTGAAATGCTCCGCAGTTTCTGGAATGTCAGTGTGGCCCATTTTCCCTTAAATGTTTGTACCAGCAATTTCACAGTTTCCTTGAGGGCATATTTTAAAATCTATTCATCTCCACAGTGCCTACTTTGCAGGGGGGCTTTTGCAGTAAGAGGTGTTCAAAGGCAGTTGTTGAACTGAATGTTCATATTAGTTTTTTCCTCTTTAATGCAACAGAACAGCTACAGAAACAAACAAAAAAAAAAAAAAGGAAAAAGAATAAAAGGCCTTGCATGAAGTCATAATTTGGCTCATACTAGGTGCTGAGTCCGTTTCCAGCTCTAATGACTGGATACTCACCACCAGCTTCATCTAGGCTGCTGGGAATGAGCTGCACCAGTTGGGCGACGCAATGTGTATTGCTCAGATCATTAAGCATGAATGTGCTAAGCACCAACACTCAGATTTACTGCAAGCTTAAAGTGGCCATTGCTTAGATCCAGCTTTCTGAGTTTCAAAGAAAGACTTTTAATGTTAATACTAATGCTGCTTCCCATCTGAGTCACTTCTGAAAAAGAATTCCGTGTGAGGGCAGTGCAATATATAGTTCTGCGACATTACCGAGTGAGAACCAGAGGCATTGCGGCAAAGCCCTTAGTTGGATCAGAGCCATACGGAATCATATTTATGCTCTCATAGGCACTGTTGCATTTGGGAGGACTTGTTCATGGGAAATGGTGATGATGGTGGTGGTCGATTGGTGATCAAGTATGTGATGTGGTTAGAAACTCTGTGTTTCCATTCATTGTTTAAGCTTCTCTTCTTCATCTGTAAAATGGGACCTCTTGCCACTGAGTGTTTTGAAAGCTGAGAAAAGTATATGTGGAGTCCCTAGAACCTGTTCAAAAGTAGGTATTCCAAAATAGGCAATTTTTGTTATTTAAGTTCAAAAAGCTCTTTTCTTCCCAACTTACCTTTTGATGAAGACTGATACTTTCCAGAATGACTGGGACAGAAACACTAACTACTCATTAAAATAATCCTTTGTGCCTTCAATCTTTTAGTTCTTTTCCTCTTCCTCTATTTTCATTCTGCCTCTCTCCTCAGAACAGTTTAATTTCTGCTTTTACCACATCTATTTGATAATAGTCTAATATGCTACTCTTCCTGAGAATGTTTAATTATTAGTAGGAACAAATCTATCCACTAAGAAATAAAGTATGGAATGGGAATTTTAAGCATTGGTCAACACATTGGAACATTTTTTTTAGCGTACTGGGAACTTTTTAATGTTCTTGAAATTAAATTCATTGGTGGTAACTAAGGCATGATACATATCGTCTATTAAATCACCAGAACTTAAAGATTAAATAATTTATCTCACTAGTTACTTATCTAGAAAGACCATTAGATAAGAAACATTTACATTCACTCATTTATTAAAAAGAAATTTTTTTTTTTAAATGGAGTCTTGCTCTGTTGCTGAGGCTGGAGTGCAGTGACATGATCTCAGCTCACTGCATCCTCTACCTCCTGGGTACAAGCAATTCTCGTGCCTCAGCCTCCTGAGTAGCTGGGACTAAAGGTACAAGCCACCATGCCAAGCTAATTTTTGTGTTTTTAGTAGAGATAGGGTTGTCCCATGTTGACCAGGCTGGTCTCGAACCCCTGACCTTAAGTGATCTGCCCACCTTGGCCTCCCACAGCACTGGGATTACAGGTGTGAGCCACTGTGCCAGGCCATTTATTCAATATTTTTAAGTGATGGATTATTATAAGCCAAGAACCATTGGTGCTGAAGAGTTAAAAGGTTGGCTTGATGCACGGTCCTTGTATAGAGAGGTGCCAGTCAAAATCAGAGAGAGCTACAATAATGCACTGATAACCTGGAGGCAAAGTGGAGATGACTTAAAGAAGGTTGTTGAGGAACCAGTTCTGACCACCATGGTCTCGAGAAAGCACACTGCCTCTCTCTGGAATAAGGCTGCACAGGCCATGCCAGGTATAACCTGGGCAGTCAAGAATTTCCACTGGGCCATGTATTTGTCCATAGACCATGGACTGGATCTGTCTAGAGAATTATTTTTTGAGCAGAAAATTCTCTCAAAACATGAGCAAGATTATGGAGTCGGGGGAAAGTGATGTGACCTCTGTTTAACCTTGGGACTATTTATAATTTTAAACTTTTTCACTGCCTAGGTGAACAGGGGAAAGGTCTTCTATTTCTACCCTTATATCCTCTATTATACTAATTGCAGGAAGAAGGCTTCTAAAGTCCACCATTAAAAGCAGTAAGGAAACTCTACCCATGACATGAAACACTACACCAAGCCAATGTAAAATTGAGTTACAGGCTCACAGGCTTGTGGCCTTTATTTGAAGTTGTCAGCTGTGCTGTTGGGGGTTAAGTATTCTGAAAGCGTACATCTTTTTTTCCTAGGCAGTAAAGCTGTTTCGGTAGTCTTATTTTATTTGGTAACTATGCTGTGCTTAAATATAGTTTGTGGGTGAAATTATTATAAGTTGGCATTTGTACTTTATATGGTTTTGTATTAGGAAATTTTAGCTAAAGAAAAACACTCACAGGAACTCGGGCAAATGTCCCTTCTTCAGAGCATTCTTTGTAGGTTCTCACCATGTTACATTCTGAAACCATAAGTTTCCTAAGAAGCAATGCAAATAGGAAACAGTAAATAGGGCGGAACACAAGAGTCAAAGCACCATGGGATCCAATTCGTTCTAACAATTTGATAAAAACAAATTTTAACATCATGTACCTCCTTGTTAAGCATTGTAACAAATGTCCACTTATTCTGACCATGCCAATATTGAGGGTTTGAACTGAGGAGATATGAGGGAAGGCTGTCACTCGAGGAGCCATATATGGAGCCCTACATACGTAGGAGCCTTCGGAATTGAAGCTGCAGTCATCGTCACTTTTTTTTTTTTACTTTCTGTATTTCAGATAATAAGGTATTAGACATTAAACATTGCATTTAAGTACATGATTTTGAGATATGCAGTGCAGGCTGAAGATGTTACAGTTGCTCAAACCTGTGGAGAGAGACAGAACATTAGAGGATGAACTGAAGAGAGTATCATCGCAGGAAACACACATACCATTTCATGACAGCCTTTCTGTGTATTTTCTCTGTGGCTTTGTGAACTTGCTGAGTCACTGGGCTTCTAGTCAGATCACCAAATGAGGAGGCAAAGGCAATAGCATTGGTAGCTGGATGGCTTTTCTTATCGCCTTCAAATAGGGCTCAAAGCTGAGGACAAAGAAGGATCAAGCATTTCACTTTCTAAAAAGAAAAACCAATAATTGGTACAGGAAACCTCTTTAGGGGCTTCTAGGTGCTGTTACTACCATCTTGAGGCTCTGCCAGCCTGCTTTTCAAGGTCATCCTTGGCACATGCTGCTTTTGTTCATTTTCCATTGGCCAGAAACAGTCACATGGTTAGCCTGACAGCAAGGAGTCAGAGAAATGTAAAGAAGTACATGGAAATTAGTGATAATCAGCTTTCATTTTGGTAGACTTATTGGCATATTTGGAAGCACAGTAGCTTCATCCGTTTCTCAATACCAAGTGAATGAAGGCTCCAAGGATTCACTATTAGAGATTGAGGATAATTGAAAGAAGGGAAGACTGTCTCTCATAGGTCACCTGCTTAGGCAATAAACTTATTGAAGTACTCCTTGTGTCTATCTTA